AGAGAGAGAGAGAGAGAGAGAGAGAGAGAGAGAGAGAGAGAGAGAGAGAGAGAGAGAGAGAGAGAGAGAGAGAGGGTCTCTGGCAGCCATCAGACTGCTAAAGAGCGGATATCTGCAGATTACATTCGAAGGAACTCTGTGTTGTTTAATCTTCACACGTCAAATGTGAAACCGACTCCCAGTTCATCCAGAAACCAACTGCGCAAACCCCAAGGTCATCAGAAAATAATAGTAATTGATTATAAATTTAAAATTCAAAATATTCATGGCCAATGGCCATAGGATCTGTAATCCTCCTATGCACAGCCTCTCCCCCACCATCCAGGAGAATGTGAAATACAGTGACGGTTTTGACAGAACATTATATTTGACACCCACTGGATGGGCAGCAATCTCATGGCTGGCATTGGCGGCCATGGGTTTAAGATTGCAGGATGCAGATGGCCAAGATGGCCACTACCAAAAAAAAAAAAAAAAAAAAAAAAAAAGCCACTACCTTCCTCTCCCGAATGGAATTTGCCAGGTTGTTATCGCTGCATCTGACCTGAAATTTCCCCCTGGTAAAAACTTATTACTAAGAAGTACCGGGGGCTAGGTCCCACTTACACGAATTAAGCGATATTGACCGTAGATGGCAAAGATCAACGGCCAGAATCTCTTAATCCGTGCAAGTGGGACCTTGCCCCGGGCCTACTGCCTTTCTATTCGGGTGAATATATGGTCGGCCTCTTAAGAAATCCAGTGCACACATTTCTAAGCAAGACACTGGATCCCTCTACCAACGGGCCTAGATTTTTTTTTTGTTTTAATTTTTTTTTTTTTAATCTTTTTGCGAGGATCTGGGTCCTCGGCAGGCCTAACAGGCCCGTGATACAGATGTGCCTGCCCTAAGTGAAGGCGGGCCGAACAAATCTCAAAAGGTATATTGCTGTCAATTTCGTATTTGGGGTCCACGCAGTTGTGACGGCCCAGTTGGTCGAGGGAAACACAGACCGAGCAGCGAAGATATTTTCCACGGCCTTCCAGGCTTTTTCGGAAATGCAGGCCCTGGGCCACAGAATCGCAGCTTCATACAGAGACAGTTGGGAAGCCCAACCGACGCGGCCCAGCAGCTGCAACAGAGGCACAGCCTCCTGAGGCCTACTGGAAGCTGCTGGGCAGAGGCCGAGCCCAGCCAGGCCGTCGGGGCAGGTGGACTCTTCCCATATAGGAAAGAGCTTGCTGCCTGGTGGCTTATTCAGGCACTTGCCAGTCTGTGCAGCAGCACAGTTGGAGCAAAAGCTCGCGTGCTGCTGTGCGCTAAGGGCAAGGTGCTGCGTGTGTGCGGTCGTGCAAGAAGCAGGGCGCTGCTGAGGGCAGCGCCATAGCCCAGCCTCCATAGCTGGCTGAGGCTTGGACTACAGTGAGGCGCAGAGGTGGTCTTCAGGTGTACAGAGGGAAGACGTGGGTGTAAGTCGAGGGAGAGAGAGGAGGATGATGATGATGACGATGATGTGAGGGCACATACCTGGTATTGGCGATGGTCTGCATCGGGTGACATCTTCAAGTACTCTGTTGTGGGTTGCTGACGTCAACAGTTGCATTGTCAATTAGTAGGCAGACAGTAGCTGTGTAGGAAGTAGGCTGGGCGCCGGGCGCCAAGTAGGGAGAAGGGCCTGGACACTTATGTTGG